CGATACATCTGATGACCAGAACAACCAGATTTTGTTGTTGCAATTAACGTAACAGTGTTGTAAACCCAATTGTAGTTTGTAGTGTTCAATTTTTGTAGACCATACCATTGGTTCTTGTAATGCAGTAAAAGGTATGTTGTACTGTATTTGTAAATTTTTAAGTTTTCTAAAAGCTTGTTGGGACTTCGTGCCCCTAATGTTCCATGAAATTGTGTTAATCATTGGAAACATTAGGGGTGAGGTCCTTTTTGTTCCGCCTTATAGCTTTAGGTAATGATCCTCTCATTTCACCCCTTTGGCTATGATAACCCCTGGGGGAGAGGTTATTGAATTGTGAAATTTTTTCTTTTACTCCAGTTCCCGTTGCCTCTAAATTCTGAAAATTCAGCATTCGCTGAGGTCTTCGTGCATTCTCATCATCCGATCTGATTTCCCTTTCCTCTTCGGTTAGGTTAACCATTTCAGTGTCTTGTGTTTTCGGGACCTTCTTGTGGTCTGTATTGTATGTGCCTTGCCTCACTTTTATGTGTGAAAGAGACTCCCCTGAGATTTGGGTAGGGGATTTTCCTGGGGTAAGCTGATGCACTTTAATTGCCAAAGCCGTATTTAGTCCAGCCTCTCCCTTCTCTCCTTGCACTTCCACTGTTCTTATGTTCAGGGTTGGAAATTGGTCACCACCGTTTAATTCTAGACTAATTTCAAGCTCTGGTAAGTCATGTTGAGTACAACCGACCCAATGTACTCAGTAAGTGTCGAGCCTAACCCCGACAATATAGTGACGAGGCTAAGACAAGACACCTACTAAAACATGTACAGAATATATATATATATATATATATATATATATATATATATAAAGCAACGGAATAACGAGTAAATCATCAAAATAGCAACATGGCAGGGACATGTAGAAAGGGGCAACAAGCAGAGTAAACGATAAGTAAGAATCACCAAGTAAACCTCTTTCAAAATAAGCACCGAAACCATCAAGTCAAGTCCACATTTCAAATGTCAAGTGAAAGCAATAAAGTCAATAAATTGCATGTCATCACCCTTCGTGCTTTTACTCACATCCTCACCATATATCATAATGCAAGTGCATGACATCACTCTTCATGCTTTTACTCTCACCCTCACCATGTAATATAAATAAGCATATGCATGTCATCATCTTTCGTGATTTTACCCTGATTCTGACATGATATTGACAATAAAGCAAGCAAGTGCATGGCATCAACCTTCGTGCTATAGACTCACGTTCACTTAAGAAAGAATATCAATATGCAGTTAAGGCACGACAATACCATTCGCGCTTTTCACTCTTCCTCACTAAGTGATCACAACAATACAATACCAAGCAAGGTGGGAACCAAATTCATCTTCAACAATAATATTGAACTCCACTTGTCATATGAAAATCTTTCCACAATTAAAGTCAAAAACCAATCAACAAATTCCACGTTCTCAACACCCAATATCGCAACAATTTTAATATAAGAAGTAACCTGAAGGCGAGTAATTAAAGAATTAATAAATAGTCTATCTAAGGCATGGAAGACACAATAAGCAAGTTAACATGGTACAAGTAAGGCAATTTCTACCTGCATGTTTATCCCATGGCATTCGGATATTCACTAGTCACCTTGCATATACGTCGTCCCCAACACATAACTTACATAGCAAATAGACTCGATTCTACCTTAGTTCCCTCAAGTTAAGGTTAACCACGACACTTACCTCTTTCAGAAAAAATCAACAATCAACCACGGCTTTTCCCTTCGAATAAGCCTCTAAATCAACCGAATCTAGTCAATTATTATTCAAACAATGCAAAACAAGCTTTAGAAATTACCCACAAATAAAAAATGTTCAATTTTGATCATATTTGAAAAGTCAACCCCATGCTCGCTTGATCGAAATCCGAGATTCGGATCAAATTTCGATTATCCATTCACCCCCGAGCCCGGTTATGTGATTTATTTCGAAATTCCACCTCAATTCGAGGTTAAAATCTCAAATTTTACAAAATTAACAAATTTTACCCAAAGCCCCTAATTCTACCTTGAAATTCTTAGATTTGACGTTAAAATTCATGAAAAAGTAATTGAAATTGATTGAAAACTAGTTAAAGGTTATTACCAATGAGTTTGAGAAGAAAATCTTCTTTAAAAATTGCCTCTAGAGATCTTAGGGTTGAAAAATGGTGTAAAATAAGTTAAGTCCCGTTTTTTCAACTTTTATCCAGCTGCAGACGTTTGTTCGCAATTGCGAATAGCTGATCGCAAAAGCAACCAGTGCAATAGACCCACAAATGTCGCAAATGCGACTTATCCTTTGCATTTGCGAAGGACCCCTTCATCGCAAATGTGGACAAAGCTTCGCATTTGCGAAACTGCCTACCCCCGCTCAATGTCATAAATGCGACTGCTGGATCGCAAATGTGACTACCCCATGTTCGCAAATGCAGACCTATCTTTGCTTTTGCGAAGTCTTCAGTCCCAGCAAACTTTTGCATTTGCGAGCCTGACATCGCAAATACAAGGCTCGCAATTGCGATCAGGTTCTCACAAATGCGAGACCTGCACATTCGCACCAGCATCTGTTTTGCTTAAGCAGTTCCAATATCATCCCAAACACACCTGAAACTCACCCGAGCCCCTCGGGCTCAAATCTGAACATGCACACAAGTGTAATAATATCATAAAAACTCGCTCGCTACCACAAATTATCAAAATAACATCGAATATCAAGAATCGATCATCGAAACTCAAGATTTCAACTTTGAAACTCAATTTTTGCCAACTTTTACATAATGCGCCGAAACGCCCTCAGGTCACTCGAGCCCCCAACCAAACATGCGTACAAGTCCAAACATATAATACGAACCTACCAGAATTGTCAAAACACCAAATCGGGGTTATTTACCAAAAACGTTGACCGTGGTCAACTTTAGCCTCATTTTAAATAAAAAAAAAAACGTTTTCTCCAAAATTTTACATAAAAGCTTTCCAAAAAATGAATCGGACCACGCACATAAGTCATATAACATCAAATGAAGCTATGAGAGGTCTCGGAACATAGAAATGAAGGCTAGTAATCAAGACGACCTATCAGATCGTCACAAAAGATAGGGTCATCTCGTACTTTCTTGCATTTAGGATATAGCCTATATTTTGTATGGATTATTATGTCTACATACCTACTGTGGATTATGAACAGTACGTAGTAGTTAGCTATGTTATAAGGATTTGAAGAACCCATACCATAGTCATACTCGATTTAAGTACATTAGCGTAAAAGGGGGATTCATATAAATTATAGTGCAGCTATCCAGTCCTCTTTCCAACCCCTTAAATCTGTCCAAAGTTTTCTTTCGTATAACACAACTTATTTTGAATTTTCACTTGCACACCTAAAATTGTAGGGTCCTATGACCCTCTCTATCTTTGTTCAAATGAATGCAAAATCATTTTTTGAGCCCACATGACTCCTAAATATTTTACAAATTATAAAAATCTTGATCAAATCAAAAGTGCTTAACAACTTTTTTGGATGGTAATTACTCATTGTATCGTATTGTATTGTTATCTCAAAATAATGTTTGTTTTGATTGTTTCATTAAAATTGGTTGTATTGTATTGTTAAATTCATTGTTCCGAAACAATAAAAAGTCTCATTTTTTAAACAACCGATTTGGTGTGGTGGGATTGTTTCCTATTTTTCTTTTCAATTATGCCCTAACTTATTACTCCATAACTCTATTATACCCTTTATCTTTTCTTTGTTTTAACTCCAAATCTCCCACCCATAACCTACTTTGTCTTCGTCCCTTTTTTTTTTTTCCAGAACTTTTGCCAACTCCAACGTAAAGTTGCTAATTTTGTTAGAATTTTCATGATTTAATTGCTTAATCTATTTATAAGACATATTTGGTGATAAATTAGTAGAAACAGGTTTTCTTAAATTATTTTTATGCGTAATTCTTGATAAATTTAATATTTAAACAATAAGGGTATTTTAGTAAACTTATCAGTTACAATATAGTACGATACAGTCAAACCAAACAGCAAAATGTTATTTAACAACAAATAATACAATCTATCGAAACGTTGTATTTATAAAATGATACAATACAATACAACACAATACAATACATTATAAAACGATGGGTAACAATCATAGCTGTAAAAGTTGCAATAAACTTATGCCTTTTGACTTATAAATTCTTGGGGCATAAGCACTTTACTATTTAGTGGTTAAAAAATCCATAATAATAAGTTCGTTCAAAAAATGCTTACCTTACCCAAACACCCCCTTATTTGGTGTTCCTAAAAAATAGAATGAGCATGTTAAAATAATACTCCTTTAGTTTCAATTTATGTGATGTATGTGCATCTCCACCCGTATCTTATTCGTTCTCAAAAACGTTTTCCTATTTCATCTTTTCTCGACTCTCCTTTAACAGAAGAAATAGAAGCTCGAGAAGGAACATCAAAACCTATTTCACTCACTGAGTTTTTTTGCATCCATGGCTGAATGGTAAAGCGTTTCATTCGGAATGTAATTTTAAAAAAAATTAAAAACTTTTGAAGCTTGTGGTATTAAATATATTATAACATTTATGTGATGATAAACTTATGATCTTAAACTTGGTATGTGATGGTAAGTATTATGATCACATAATACTTGTGTGATCATAAAAGTATTATTAAGAATAAAAAAAATAACTCGGTACACAAAACATTTCGTATTCAAACAAAATCCGTAGAAGGGCCGCAATAATTATTTTTATGGCACGAACCTATAATATGTAGGTCCACGGAGATTACTTTATCATTAAATATAAAATGAGTAAAGTTAAAGGTATTTTTTAAATAAAAAAATATTTTAAACTAACTAATAGACAAAAGTGTGTCACATAAATGAACATGAAGGGACTAGGGAGCAGTAAAAAATAAGAAAGAGGAAAGAAACAGAGTAACAATGGAAAGTGAGGCTTACCCATTACTATTAGATTTGAGATATCCTGCCACCTTATCTTGAAGTTATCTACTTTGTCATTTACTCCTCCATTTCTTTTTTTATTTTTTTTTTCTTTTTGTTGGCCAAAACCCAGTTTACCGACTGTTTGAAATGCAAAGCAATTTCGTCCGACGTTCGTAATCCTCTTTTTCACTTCACTCCGAAATCATGGCTTGTAATTACAGCTCATTGTCCTCCTTCTCAGCAATCCCAATTTCATCTAAATCTGCATTTCCTTCTTCTTCTCGATGTAATGTCAAGTCCAGAATCTTTTGCTCCGTCGGAGGTATAATTTCAAGCCTTTTGACTTTCTAATTGCTCCTCTTATATTTTTCAATCGTTCAATGCAGCTTAGTTTCACCAGAACAACGCGTTTCTGTTTGTGATTGGTGATATCTGTATGTGTTTTTCATTTGTTGTTTCTGAATCTTCTTTATATATCGTTTATTAATTTCTATGAATGGTTTATTAGTTTAAGCTTATTATGTTATACCTTGGTCCGGATTTTGGCTAAGTTAGGGCTTATGTTATGATGAGATATACTTTTGGAAATTCGTCAAAATGGTGCAGTGGATTGCTGTTTCTAGAACTTGGTTATGATCGATTAACTGAAGCTGAAGAAAACCTATTTGTTCTTAGGTAAAAATTAACTACTTACATACCTAGCAATTTTTCAAATACGTTATTTTCCTCCAACTCTTTAAACATTGTACTATCTTCCCCTTTTTGGTCGTCCTTGGAAACAGATTTATTTAGGCTCTTGATTTTTGTTTACCAGAAAATTGGGTGACTAAGAAATTTTTTGAAGTAGCTTGAGATGGTTTGTCCAAGTCTTAGGTTTACATCCAAATGCATAAGTCCATTGCTGTCACAAACATACAATTGGAAGGGCTAAAATGGGACTGCTTAAGAAAATTCACTTGGGGCAAGTTGTATCAGAAGAGCTACAAACTCTCGCGGTCAATGTGGTCTTAGCTAACAATAGAATGCAAATGATTCATATAGGCAATACCAAGTACTAACTATTTCAATTTAATACATATATTTTGTGTTACACTTACATTAAGTTCAGAATTTACTAGAGGTTTTTTTTTTTTAATAATTTGGCATGTATAGGGATAATTGTGAGATTAGAGCGCCTCTCTTTATGAATTCTCGGTTTGCCATAAAGATAGACAATTTAGCATTGTCATGAATGTGCCTAACTAGAGCGAAATGGTTAGGCGAAGATTCATATAGCAAAGTCCTACTAGTTTGGGATTGATGTGTAGTTGATGATGAAGGAATTTTTGAAAGACTTGTTAAAATACAAAACCTGCCGACCTCTCTTATACAACCAAGGAAGAATAATCACACATGTTGAACAAACAATGGCATAAATGAAGCTAATACAACAAAAAAGTTGAAAAAAGATGTCAAAGCTTATGCCTTCAAAATAAATAAATACTAAAACAATGTAAGTATAATTCAACAAAAGACAAATCTAATCCGGTAATTTTCCTCCACTGATTTCAAGGATACACGGTTCTCTTCGTTTAATTGTACGTGCCATTATATAGTGGTCTGTACAAATAATATCTTATGTGGAATTAGCACAAACCATCTAATTCTTAATAAAATCACAAGTTTAAAATATTTCAATAACAAGTCAAAACAATGGTTAGTTTGATTGGGAGAAGAGGATGAAGAATGACAGAAGAATTAAGGTGATGGAAGGAGGAAAAAAAAAGATAACAAGAAAATTTGAAAAATATAGAGATAATGCTACAAAAGAGATAGGTAATTGGAAAAATCACAAGGTGAAAATGGACCCGAAGGTTAATGTTAGATTTAGCTACCACCTTAAAAAAGGAGACCATTATAGAGTGAGTCAATGGACGAAAATGCTAAGGATAATAGTTTGAGGGGAAAATTGCTAGGTCGAGTTTAGGGTACTATAGTGCATTATAGCCTATTCTTTAAAGATGTTATAGATTACACAAAGTGTTGCATACTCATCCTAATCAATAACGGAATTACCTAATAAAAAGCTAAAGCTACTTGTTTCTATATTTTTGTAGGCAATTACATCTCTAGCTTTTCAACTAGGTCGAACTTCATCAAAAACTTTTCAACTAGGTTGGAATAACTTATTAGTAAGACTCCATGGGAAATGAGCATAATTTTTACTGAATATTTCTCATACTCTTTTCTACAACAAGCTAAATGAATGAGCAATGTCCTAAAGTCAAACAGTGAGCTATTAAAGATAAACCTACATATCCTTTAGATTCTCCTTGTACTGAATCCGTGGCTAGTGTCTCTTGCATGCTTGTGTTGTTGCACTGCACGTTGGATTTAATGTGCTTATCTCTCAGGACTAGAAACCTTCTAATTTTCCAAAATTTCAAATAGATTTATTGTATTCTTTACATGGTCGCGTGATTGATGCTGCTCTTAATTTCCAGGAACTGTTGCTGAACCAAAAGCTATAAATGCAACTGAACCTTTGTTGCTTGATGCTGTTAGGGGTAAAGAAGTAGAAAGGCCTCCTGTTTGGCTTATGAGACAAGCAGGGAGGTATATGAAGGCAGGTTTATAGTTCTGTTTTAACTTTGAGTATATCCTGAACTTCTCTGAGAGATCTTAACTGCATTCCATGCTGCAAATTTTGACTTACTCATGTTATCCGCTCTGCAAGAGATGATGTATTCTGTTAAAGATAATCTTTCGCCTAAATGGCTTTGAATAGATAACTTAAAAATTCGTCTTTAGGGATCTGACATTATATACTCACACCTACTAATTGATGTACCTGAGATGCATTTTCTCTACTAATCAGCTGCTTGCATGAGAATGTAATGGCTTTATCTTTCTGCTTTGTTTGAAACTTAGGAGAAAAGCGAAGGGCTGGTAAAATTTTGTGAATCATATTTGTTGGATGTTTCATTGGACTTCAAGTAGGACGACAGAGTGTGCGGATCATAAAGCTTGAGAAGTTTCAAAGCTCTAGTTCTGCTGCCTTTGTTTTTGAATTCTATGTTAGCAGTTTTAAGGCTTGATCTGCATGATTTCTTATGTGGATCTATTTTCTACACTTGCATTAGAAATTTTCAGATCATTTCATTTTCCATCTAATTACTATTCAGCATTTCTTTTGTGTAGAGTTATCAAATCCTTTGTGAGAAGCATCCATCCTTCCGTGAGAGATCAGAAAATGTAGATCTTGTGGTAGAAATTTCTCTACAGCCATGGAAAGTATTCCAGCCTGATGGGGTAAGAAACTTTATTGCAGTCCTATCTCGGCATGTGTTTGGTGTTGCATTTATTGTTGGATATTTCATTATTTTTACTTTTTACCAGAGCAGTATCCCCATCATTGGGTGTTTCATCACAAGCTATCATCTTAGCTCTATTATTGGTTATTGGTTTGTTCTGAATGGTTTTCCTCATGTTGGCAGGTCATTTTGTTTTCAGATATTCTTACTCCGCTCTCTGGAATGAACATCCCTTTTGACATCATAAAGGGGAAGGGTCCTGTCATATTTGATCCACCGAGAACAGCTACTGATGTTGAGAAAGTTAGAGAATTCATTCCTGAAGAATCAGTTCCATATGTCGGAGAAGCATTAACAATTTTGCGGAAAGAGGTTTGCTCTTTGTTTGTTTTATTTTTAATATATATGACCTTGGAGGTTATCTGTTAAGGAGCATTTTTCTCTTTTTTTTTTTATGTTGAAATACCAGAGGTGGAAATAAGTTGAGGGATTTTGTTAACCTCCAACGAGGAGAAACTTATTGCTTCCTTCTGAAAATTCATGTATGATGATGTTCGAAAAAGCTGCATATGTTTGTAGTTTGAGATCTTCAATGTAAAGGAACTTAAACTTGCAGAGCAATGTTTTGTTTGCTAAATATTATGGGCAGTTCATGTGATATAAACTGTGATTTGCTTATAGAGCCCGTTTGGCTTAGCTGATTTAGAGTAGCTGATAAACATTAGGTGCTGAAAAGCACTTTTAAGTGCTGAAGCTGATTTAAAAAATAAGCAGTTACGTGTTTGGATAAAAGTGCTGAAATTAATAATAAGCAGCTGAAGAACTGGGTATACGAAGAGTTTTGTTCTAAAAAGAAGTATTTTAGGGATAGAATAGTAAATATTTTGGTCAAAGCTAAAGTGCTTATAAGCTGAAATTTGATAAGTTGGGGGAGACCAACTTATGGCTTTTGGCTTATTTTTGGCTTATAAGCACTTAACTTATAAGCACTTTTAATTTTACCAAACGCGTAGATAAGCCAAAAAGTGCTTATAAGCCAGTTTGACCAGCTTATAAGCTTAGCCAAACACCCTCATGGTCTCTTGACAGAAAGATTCAGCATCTCTACTAATCTCCTTCTGTTGTCACTGTATGAGATCCTTGGGCAAAATGTTGTAAAATTATACTCCAACTGTTAATACACTGGATATGGAACTTAAGATATTAATGGCTTGTAATAATTATTGATAGTGGAACAAAATTAAGAATTGGTTGCACAATTAATTTGCTAGAGAAAGCATCACATCAAATTTTATATTTTAAAATTTGATTAGTTTAATAAATTGAGTTCTTGAAAATTGTAAAAGTTTTATATGGAGCACAGTGTCAACCGCGAACTGGAATGATGCCATAAAATTGAAATGGAGTAACAGAAAACTTTTGGGCTTTGCTTAAATTCACAACCTGATTACTGTTACTATAACCTGTATGCTACCATGTTGATTGTGTTATAACTTATCTTTGCTTTGCTAGGTCAATAATCAAGCAGCAGTTCTGGGTTTCGTTGGGGCACCATTTACCTTGGCATCATACGTGATTGAAGGCGGTTCCTCTAAGAACTTCACAAAAATTAAGAGATTAGCTTTTGCAGAGCCCAAGGTAATTTACTATTGCTTCTCTATGTTACTAAACCCTACAGTGACAATCATAGTTTGTTTAATTGATTGGATCATATTATGTTTTCAATCCTGATCTTTTTATTGAATCTTCCATTGATATTCCCTGGTCCTGCTTCCCGTATTAGGACAGCCCAAGCAATGTTGATGGATATTTCACATTCAGTACGATTTTAATTTAGTGCAGGATTTATTTCAACCATCCATTGCTTGGAGTTTCTCTCAAACCAGTTTCAATTAAATTGCAGAAACCTTGATATGTAGATACTGATCCTATTTGTTGTCGCACTTCTCTCTGTTGTGGGAAAGAGAGGGGATAGATATTTGGAGGCTGTCATCGGTTATATGATGACTTATGTATCCAATCGGTTACAGGAGCATTGTTTGTTCTGCTTTTTTTCTTTTCTTTCTCCTATAGAAGGTAGGGCGAGGGTTTTATCCGTTACCACTCATAAAGAAGTCATCTTAGCTCTGTTTATTCCTTACCACCAAAAACAAGTCATCTCAGCTTGGAGTTTCTCCCAGAAACAGTTCCGATATTGGATTGCCGAGTTCGTGATTTGTAGACGTTGATCCTCTTGTTGTCACACTTATATCTGTTTAGGGAAAGGGAGGGGTAGATATTTGCAGGCTATCATTGGTGATTTGATGACTGAATTCAATCAATTACAGGAGCGTGTTTTTCTGCTTTTTTTCCTTTTCTTCCTGCTATGAGTGCAGGGTGAGGGTTTTACCATTATCACCAAAACAAGTCATCTTAGCCTAGTTCCTAAAGGTGGGTGATATGCTGATGTGGTCTTTTTCTTTCTGTTGTTTTCACCTGGATTTTCTATGGTTTGGCAAGCTGCCACTGGGCTCCCTCAAGTTTGAGCAAGTGGCAATTCTGTTCTTATTTTGCCAAAGGATGGGCCATGTACTTTGTCGCCCCTAGCAAAATCACAAGTTGAAGAACGAAGCCTCGTTCATCGAGGTCTAACCAAGTAAATGCATTAAGAAATTCATCAAAAGGAAACAGGGGAAAAATAAATCAGGAAAATCACAAAAGCACTGTCTTATGTCAATCACTCTCTTGTTAGAGAGCAGTAAATATGTTATGTTATATTCCAAACCGAAAATAAAAAGAAAAGGCATGGAGCACATTCTACTTTTGGGGCAAATAAGTTTTGATTCCTAGAATTTGAACTGAAAATTGTGATGTGAGGGAAAATAGGAGGGGCAGGGAGAAAGGAGAAATCTTTTTTAGCACCAAGGTTTCTTGGGCCTTAGATTTGTTTTTTATGCAAATGCGAGAAGGTAAATGTAAGGACAAGAAAAGGGGAAACTCAGAGGTGTCTGATGGAAGGAGAAAGGAGAAATGTAAATTTAAGGGAAAGCTAAGCTCAGGCTCTTTTGTCTAATTGCTCGTTGCGAGTTTTAGATGGTGAAACAAAGTCTATTGAAGATTCAGTTGGTTCATTTCCTTTCTTTTCTGCTGGAAGCCAACAACAATAACTCTAGAAATAGTAAAGCTGCCATATTTTTGAACCTGAGGGGCTGTATGCCATTGTTATTGATACCTGACTTTTTAAACAAAATAGCCTTTTCCTGTTGAAAATTTAATTAGCATGTTAAAACAACCTGCAGATCCATCCTCCAAAGCCACCCTGCCCAGGAGAAAAGAAAAAGACACACTGCTGAAACATTTGACAAATCCTGTTCTGCATTGGATCATGTGATCACCAATATTTGGAAGTGGCATTAAATTGAAAATGGCATAAATCTTATGCATGTAAATTTCCACACCCATGATCTACATGTTATTACATGTCCTTTCAGGTGGTTATATCAATGAATACTTGGGTTATGATTACTACTTAAAGCACGGTCAATCAACTCCCTGTATCAATTCTCCTTTTGAACATTTTATCACTAGCTTATGCTCTGCCAATTTATGTTGCAATGTTATCAATTGCTGTTGATATGTAGGTCCTTCATGCACTGCTTCAAAAATTTGCGACCTCAATGGCTAAGTATATCCGATATCAAGCTGACAATGGTGCTCAAGCAGTACAGATCTTTGATTCATGGGCCACAGAGCTAAGCCCAGTTGATTTTGAGGAGTTCAGTTTGCCTTACTTAAAACAGATAGTTGAATCAGTGAAACTAACCCATCCTGATCTTCCGCTGATTCTTTACGCAAGTGGATCAGGTGGCTTGCTTGAGAGACTACTCTTGACAGGGGTAGATGTGGTCAGCTTGGACTGGACAGTTGATATGGCTGATGGTAGGAGACGACTGGGTCCCAATGTGGCTGTACAAGGTAACGTGGATCCTGGAGTGCTTTTTGGCTCAAAAGAATTTATTACCAATAGGATAAACGATACCGTGAAGAAAGCTGGCAGAGGGAAACATATTTTGAACCTTGGACATGGCATCAAAGTTGGTACACCTGAGGAAAATGTGGCTCACTTCTTTGAGGTTGCCAAAGGTCTTAGGTATTAGAAACAGATTAGATTGTTATCAATTTTAACCTGTTCCATATTTTCCACGAGGGCTTTCATTCTTCGGCGCATTGTTTCATTTGTATGTAATGCTTCCTATGAACAAGGGAAAATGTAGCTCACTTCTTTGAGGTTGTCAAAGGTCTTAATTTTGGAAACAGATTAGATTGTTATTAATTTTAACTTTCCAGAGATCTCTTATTCTTCTCATTTGTATCTAATGCTTCCTATGAACAGGGAAAGAATATATTCAAAGCATTATTTCTGGAATGTGTTTTTTTCCCTCTATCTGAACTGAAATTGAAGCTAGGTTTTCTCATTGTGTATCTGAGAGTAAATTCTAACTGAAAGTTGACTGGTTCAACTTTGGTAAAGTTTTAGAGTTGAACCCACTAAACTTTTTATATATTGGTTGCTGCAGTTTATTTTCTTTTTTCTTCTCTCCGTCTCTGCGGTTTGTTTGCCAGTTGCATATACTTTTTCAGGAAAGAGAAGAAAGCTTACTGTTGTGGGGGAGGTGGAGGTGGAGGTGCCTTTGGTAAATGGTAAGCCTATTCAACTAGGCTTGATTTTCTCATTATTTGCAAGCTTGATTTTCTCATTGTTTGTCAAGCTTCTCTGCCTCAGCTCGACAGCTCCTTTCTACATCAAGATCTGGCCCTTTCCTTGGTAGGTAGGTTTATCCTCACTCGTCCTGGCCTATGCACACCACAGACGCTAAGGCAATATTGTATATGAAGTAGAGGATTTTGCTTCTGATGTAGTTAGTGAGAAGCTAAGTTCCAGTTTTAGCTTTAGCAAACATGTGACGTCTCAACAGTCTAGACATGCTCAGCCATTATTCTTCTACCATATTTTGTACTAGAGAAAAATCACTCTTTTTCGTGTAGGCAAATTTAAAGCAGTTTCGTCATTAAGGTCCGAACATAGCACAATATTTAGTCCAAGGACCAAAGCAAATGTGTGTGTGTCATATATATCATAGCATATTGTGTTGTCATGTACCTCATGCTAATAAGTACAAACGTTTGATAATATAGAACATAAGTATGATGAGTAACACAAAAATTGAAGGGGAAAATGAAAATTCAAACTGATGGAGATATAATTCATTTTCTGGTGATGAGTTGAAATATGGGAGAAAAAAATTTCATTAATAGTTGTTTTCTACTTCAGTCATGATTATAGTTTTTATTTGTACACGGCCAACAAATTAAGTATTACATTTTCACACTTAATTAAAATTCATTTCTCGATTTACCATTATGTGTAGTTGTATTTACATTATTACAATGTGGTGATGATAAAATTCAATGCAAAGAGATGAACTGAAAATTTGGTCTTTCTTTATTATTTTGTCTAAATTATTTCTTTTGTATAAAATTGTAAGTTTGATACTGTCACGATCCAAAATCCAACTAGCCGTGATGACAGCTAACCCAACCCGCTAGGTAAGCTAGTTAACAATAAACCAGTACAAATGATATTTATTAAGAGAAGAAATGACAATACAACCGAACTATTATACAAAGAATTCCCAAGGATTGATAGTACAAATAATGAGCTTCTAAGATTTAGATTTTTTACAAGACTGGACTGAAATAATTACAACATCTGTAGAAATGTAAATGAACAGAATTCGAATCTAATGCTACCAAGGACAAGTGATAGCCATAACTGGAACGTAGGTACATCTTCAGATTTAGCTCCCGCCATACGCAGCAACATCAGCATCCAACTTCTGCACGCAAGGTGCAGAAGTGTAGTATGAGTAGAACCGACCATGTACTCAATAAGTAACAAACTTAACCTTAGGTTGAAAGTAGTGACGAGCTGGGACAAGGGTCAGAGTCCAACTCCAATAACCAGCCACAGTTCATAATAATATAATAAAAATGGTACAAGAAGATAACTCAGAGATAAGATGCTCAACTCGTTCACAGTTATGAAAAATAGGTATGCTTTTCAAGTATAACAATATATCCCAAATCCTTCACCGAAAACACCAAAAGCACATGAGTAAGTTTGAAAACTGTGATATTCCCGAAACCTTTCAAAAATAACTAATCATTTTCAGATAGCATGAGGAAAGTACGTCTCTATGCCTACATGTCAATATGCAGGTGAAATCATAAATGTTACCAAAAATCGAGTAGCGTGAGGGAATGCACCTCTATGCTTGTATCTCAAGTACGCATGTCAAATGCAATGTATCTCAGTGATGAACTCGTGTACTCACACTCTCAGAGTACTCAATCTCACTGTCTTGTATTCTCACTCACCATGCTCGACACTCGGCACACTCAGTCACTTAGTATTGTACAGGGCAGATTCAGCCAAAAATCAATAGCAACTGACATTCAGTCACTCAGTACTGTATAGGGCAAATCCAGCCCAAGGCAGATCCAACCCAAATATAAAGGTTTAGGGCCAGATCCAACCCAAATATAAATAACTGCAAGTATTGTGCACACTGTGGATATGCAAACTCCGGAGCGGCCGATCCAGCCCAAGCAGTATAATAAGGCAATCTTGGCATGAATCAATGAAGCCTGCTGCGGCGTGCAGCCCGATCACATAAATATCACTCACAATAGGCCCTCGACCTCACTCAGTCGTCAATCTCTCTAGCCTCTCGGGATCACAACAATCATGCTAAGAAGCCCAAATCAATGATAAGAGATGTGACAATATACAATAACAAAGACTGAGATATGATATATAATGATGAATGCGAATGAGTACATAACTGCAATTAGGCAAATAACTCAATAACAAAGAATAACCACTATGGGTCCCAATAGTACCAACATATAGCCTACAATGATTTCTAGCATAACTTACAGCTCAAGTGCTCTAACACCTCGAGTACAGTAAAATGTTCAGATAAGATAGCTACACAGAACCATGAAACCGACTAAATCACAATTCATACGTTGCAGCCCACACTCCCGTCACCTAGCATACGCGTCACCTCAACAATAGCACATAACACATAATTCGGGGTTTCATACACTTAGCACCAAGTTTAGAAGTGTTACTTACCTCGAACAAGCCAAATCCAATACCGAGCAAGCCAAACGATGCTCGAAAAATGCCATCTCGCGCATAACAACCTCCGAACGACTCGAAACTAGCCAAAAGCAACTCAAATACATCGAATAAAGTGCAAGGAAACAATTTCAAATGACAAAGGTCGAATCTTCAATCAAAATCCCAAAATCGATCAAAAAGTCAAACCAGGGCCCGCACCTCGGAACCCGACGAAACTTATAAAATCCGACAACCCATTCAATTAGGAGTCCATCTATACTAGTTTCATTCATATCCGACCCCGAATCGATGTTCAAAACTCAAAAATTCACTTTATGAAACTTTAGGCAAACCCCCCCCCCCCCCAATTTCTCTCTTGAAACCCTCAATCAAATGCCAAAAACGAAGATATATTCATGATATAAAATCAAAAATGAGTAGAGAATAATTATCCCAAATCACATGGTGAAAATCGCCTAAAAATCGCTACAACCAAGCTTCATAGCTCCAAATATGACCAAATGAACAAACTCTCGATATTAAATATTTTTGCCCAACTGTTCTGCCACGTTTCGTGTGCCAGACGATCCCAAAACTCGCTTTTAATATCTCCAATGGATTCCTTGTGAAATTCCAATTAAGTTAGGCTTTTTATCACTCATTTGACCTTACAATGAAGGAGATATGTTGGTTTCAATATTTGAAAATAGTGCAAATTTTTAAATACGAATTCAGTGGCAATTTCATAATTAATATGAAAAAAAAAACTGACAACCCAATTCTTAGTAAAATGACCATAAATTCCTCATATGATGTCGAAACTTGATGATTACAGTTGCTATAGATCCAAAATTACGATACGGATCTCATTTGCTTAATATGGTACCATTTATGGTTGAAGAAACGACGTCGAAATATAAAAAACGAGCGCAGCACAACTCAGACCTATCCGAAACTCACCCGAGCCCCTCGATACCCCGTCCGAACATACCAACAAGTCCCATAACATGACACTGGCTTACTCGAGGCCTCAAATCATGCATAACAATATCAAAACTACGAATCGCACCTCAAATCGAAGTTAATGAACTTCGACTCTTTCAACTTTCAATACTCGTGCCGAACCTTATCAAATCAACTCGGAATGAACTCAAATTTTGCACGCAAGTCCCAAATGACATAACGAAGCTATTCCAATCCCAGAAACCACAATTCGAACCCGATATTATCAAAGTCAACTCCCGGTCAAACTCATGAACATTTCAAACCTTTAAATTTTCAACTTTCGCTGAATAGTGTCGATACCTTCTAGAAATACACATCCGGACCTAACGGAACCAAATACAAAAAAGTCAAACTTGGTCAACTCTTCCAACTTAAAGCTTCAAACATGAAATTCATTCTTCCAAATCACTTCTGAATAACCTGAAAACCAAAACCGACGATTCAAACAAGTCATAATACATTATACGGAGATAGTCATGTCCTCAAACTACCGAGCGGAGTGCAAATGCTCAAAACGACCGATCGGGTTGTGACAGATACTGGGTCATCCTTGCATATGTTGTATTAGTTTCTGCTCAAATTTTAGATTTCATTTTATGAATATGAGAGTTTACTTTTTGCTTCTTTTTTTATTCTTTTCTATATTACTGACTAATCTTCCAAGTCAGGTATATGCTCGGCTCGTTCGTAAACTGAATTTGCCAACTATTAGTGGATGATGTAATGCAGATATTTCTATTTAGGCACTGGAGAATGTGGTTAGTTTATGGCCTTCTGAACAATGTACATTCATTCAAAATGTTGTTGAATTGCCTCAATTCCAAAAGTTTACCAATAACCTTTGTATAATATACATTGATTCGCTTATTGGTGATTACTAAATTAAAAAAATGAAGGCCAAATACATATAGAGCCCATTAAACTTGGCCCAATTTTTCATTTTGGCACTCTAACTAACTTTTGTTCCATTTTGGCCCTCCAACCCCAATTTTTGTGTTCCACTTTAACACAAAAGCTGACTAGATTTAGTGTGTGATTTGCCTCACCCTTTAGGCGCGTGAGGGATATTTTTTCAGCCAAATTTCATACTCTCAACCTAGAGGCGGATCTAGAATTTAAATCCTATGGATTCAATTTTAATATTTTTAACATTGAATCCATTATATTTTTAAAGTTATGGGTTTATATCTATTTTTTTTTTATAATTTTAATAAAGTTTTACATACAAATTTTT